TAATCAATTTAGGTTCAATTGTGCGTAAGGCAATGGATATGGATATATGGATGCCTTTAAAGTTACATAGTTTAGATTGAAAAATATAAATTCTTGTGATCAAATAAAATGTGTAACTACGACTTTTTTCATAAGTAAATTATTGTAATTTATTATAATCATTTCAATTTTAATTTTCTTCATAAGAGAAATCAATCAATGAAATGAGCACAAACACCTAATATATATGTACTGTTATGTAGTTGGAATTGCAAATATGTAAATGCTTTTTATCAAAAAGTTCTTTAAATTTATATAAATTATTTTATTGACAATTTAGTTTTTATAAATTTACAAGTTAAAAACAACAGCAGCACATTTTTTAGTATCTCAACCTTATGTTTTATTAACTATTGCATTATTAACACATGAGTAGATATTTGGACAAGTAACGAAGCCTTTTGGTGATAGTTGGGTAGCTTTTACTTACCTTCAAAATTAATTTAGATAAGATATTTAGGTCCATACCTCATAGACATCTCGTTTGCTATACCTTTTAACACGTGGTCTCATTTTTTATATGGGTTTTGGTTTTTAATTTATATGAACAATTTATTTTTTGATTTATTAATGCTTGCTAAATCGTATGGATACGAAATGCTGTTTGTTCTGATATTTACCTATTTATTAATATATATTTTTACACATTGTTATAATTTTATTTACTTTAACTTAGTCCTCTTACAAATATTTGCATTTCTCCATCATAGTTGAAAGTTAATACAAAATTTTTTCTGTAAAAATTTCATTTTTATTGTTCAAGAATTTTATTAGTTACTTTTATTATTAATAATTAATTGTTAATGTTTCAATAAGTTTTTTGTATTTACTAGGCTTAGGTTGTATTTTTCACAGCTTCGTTAGTAGCTGAAACAGCGACTACGAACAAAAAAAGGTCATGATATAACAATGCTCGAAGCCCATTTAAACCTAATAGCAACTATAAACTATAAAACTACAGACTATTAAAACCAAATATAGATATCTAGAAGTTATTCGGTTTTTGTAGTCGTTAGAAAAATAACAAATAAACATTGATTGCTTTGAAAATGGCAAATTATTGCCTAAATCTTTTTAACACTTTAGGGAACTTGAACATAGTTGCGTTAAAATGAATTTTAGTACTTATAGGGTGTGAAGGCAATTAAATAGCTAATAACCTTGCCAAGATTGGGGCAAATAACATATGACATTAATTGCTCTGATCCTTTCTATGAACTGGCAAACATTAACTTAAATCAGTTCATTAAGCAAAAGGAGAAGAAAATAATTGAAGATCACTGGTCTAATAGTTTAAGCTAACGTCAAGCAAAACGATTTCTTATCCCAGCGAAGGAAATATCAGGAAAAATACTTTCGGTAAGTAGGGTAGACTTCTGGAATATATCTGTTTACTGCACAGGTTACTGCTACATGCGGTAGCACTTAAATAAGTTGCAGCTCTGTAAAACTGATGCTTGTCATTTTTGTAAAACGATCATAGATGTTTTATGAATGTCCAGATCTTGGTAGACAAAACCTGATCATTTAGGTGCTTTTCTTATGCCTCCATAAATATTACGAAATTCCAACTGTGCTAAATAAGCCTAACTTTAAAAAGCCAATATTTGGTTTTTATACAGTGTTAGTTATTAAGGCGATACGCAGTAGATGTATTCAGGTCCTATGCTTTCTGACCTTTGAAATAATATTAGTAATATATTCTAGGAATATTTATATATTTAATTTTATAAAACAGTTAAATTACTGATTGTTGTTTATCTTATATATAAAAATCTCGTGTCACGGTGTTTGTGTTTAAACTCCTCTGAAACGGCTTGACCAATTGTCATGAAACTTTTTATGTATATTTGGTAGGTATGAGAATAGGTCGTAAAGTATATTTCATACCGCTAAAGTGATTAGGGTGTCCCTATCCAGCAAAAATATCAATGTAATACATTGAATTAAGAAAACGAGTGGTTGGTGTTATTATTGGCGATCATCGCCTACAGCATTCAATTCCTCTTTCTATCATAGAACCCCCCTCCCCACACACTTACAATATATTCATTATCATTTATTTAAAAAAAAAATAATCAGTATAAATAATTTATGCGGCAAAACAACGTTTGCCGGGTTATCTAGTAAAACTATAAAAATGTTATAGAAATCCAGAAAACCAATACCTCATAAAATTGTTATTGTGTTGACAAATGAAAAAGTATCATGTATTGTATGTACGGTATCGCTTGTCTGTTATGACCGATTAGATATATTTTATTCATTAGAAATTTTCTCAGTTTTGCTTGAGTAGTCGCTGTCGTAAATTTCAATTTAATGTTTCTGTTTTGTTTTCGCTCCTGCCATATTTGTTTGCTATTATTCCCGCTGCTTGCTAATCCTCACGCCAAGTCCTTTCAGACTTGGATTTCCTTATGAATTTCTTATGTATCTTTTAGGGCGACGTTTTTAACAATTTGCTTTGTTATTCCGTTTTTATTCATTCAATTAGTTTTGTTTTAGTTTGAGCTCAAATTTTTTAGTATTTATCCTTATTTTTTTTTTGCGTTTAATTTTTGTCAAAAATATTTAAGGATTTGCTAAATTCTTTGTTTTCACATTTTTACAATTCTTGCTTTGCTCTGCGGTTTTGACTTTGGAATTGATTTTTCTTTGTTGAAATAAAGATACTCTGATGATAGGAAACCAAACCGAAGCAAATTCTACTTTAAGCTCGAAGTAAACAAAAATAAAAGAAGGTGAAATGTGGAAGAGCTTAAAAAAGCAATTTAAACTGTAAATGCCATTTATCCCCCAAACGGAGTTCTGCTCCTGCTGTTCGTTGGTCCTGCTTTGTTTTAAAAGCTTCGGTTGGCTTTTGTAATTGAGTTCAGCAGCGCATTTTCTAACTTTTATTTTTGGTTTGTGGTCCTCCACCACCATTGAAAGTATTTTACTTTTGCATTTCTAGAAAAAAATTCGTGAAAGTCAGTGAACTTTCTGAGTTACTGCTTTTTTGCAAAAATATTTTGCTTCAATTTTATTTCTTGGAAGTCTGAGCCACTTGAGATTTAAATGGAGCAACTGTGCAACAAAAACTGTGAAAAAATATAAATTTATTTCAATGGCGTAGGAAATAAAACCGATGGCGCGAATGGTGGGTGTGGTTACTTAAGTACACTCTGAAAATGAATTCTAGTCATCATTATTCGATTTTGGCCGCTTAATGAGTTCTTCATCTGAAGCGCTTGCAACTAACAAAAGGAATTGGACTGCCCGGCAGTAGGTTTCTAGATTAATTAAAATATGTACCATAAAACCGGTGCATAAAATGGAATTAAGTGGTATATTGTATTTGTTCATTGGCATGTAATCCGGAAACTAATTAAGAAAGTTTGGGATGAAAGAAAACTGTTACCGTTGAATTACAACGCACAAAATGTGAGAAATTTATTTAATTTTTAATTATGCCGGAAAATTGGAGTACATTCAACTCATATATATATAAATACCTATAAACAAGTTAAAGCCAAATATATTTCTTTAAGATTTTTCGACTTATACTCGTAATATCTGCTGGTAATAGACCGAATCTTACTTACTTATTATATACGTATAGTAAATACTTAGCAAGATTTTGTTTGACATCTCTAAGTCTCTTAAATCAATGATATCTGCTAATGATCTGAATTTTAATACATTATAATTGAAATAAAAGGATATTGTATTATTTTTATCAATAATAAATAATTAAAGAGTACTACTTATTATTAGTAGATAATTAGTTGTAAAATATCTGTTTAATATCTTAAAGATTTTTAAACATCTGCAAATGATAGTCGAATCTTAATACATTATGATTAAAATTATATACTGTATTATCAATAGTAAAGAATAAAAGAGAACTACTTGTTATTATTAGATACTTAAATGAACATTTTTGTTTGATAACTTCAAGATTTTTAAACTAATGATATCTGCAAATGATAGTCGCATCTTAATAGATAATGATGGGGAATAATTAAAGAGCACCACTTTTGTAGTAGATACTTAGATAGAAAATTTTCTTGATAGAAGTATTTTTTAGAAAATATTTTAATTATTTAAAGAAATTTAATTTTTGTTCACTAATTTGATATCCAAGTAATTAAATTCACGAACAAAAAATTTCTCTATCAAAGCACTTTACTGCCATAAATTTTCTGTAATTTTTGCCTCTGAAATGTGCCATAAAATTTATTAAATTTTTACGGCCTTTGAAAACTGACTGAAATATTTCTATGGCAATATTTTTTTTTTTTTTGCAACATTTTCCAGGATATTATTTTACATCACCAACAACTCAAAACGCTTTGTGGGGCTCAGCCTTTTCTGCTGCGAGGCAAATTTGTATTGCTGGCAAAAATTAAAATGCAGCAATCGTTCGGCTTAGCCGTGCTATCTTTCCGCTTTAGTTTTGTTCATTTGGTGCACTGGAGCAGAATTTTCTTATCAGAGCGTCATGGCAGGACTCTGCATTTTGAGCAAAATACATATTTTTGCATTCGAAGGAAAATGAAATGCAAAAACATTTTTTTATTACTGCTGCTTTATTTTTATTATAAATAAAAAGATTTTTCATTAAAAAAAAAATTTTTTTATGGTTCTAGGCACACAAAACTGTTGAAATATTTAGGCAAGTAGGCAAAAAGTTTGATGAACTTGAAAAACATAAATAGTTAAAAATATATATATTTTATATTATTTTTCTCTCGTTTAGTATATTTTAGTTCAGATAGTTTTGCTGTAAGTTTCAACTATGCTTTTTGCTTCGTCTATTGAAAAAGTTTTGTTTTTATTAGAATTTTAATTTAAGTTCTTTTACAATACTAAGTAACAATTACTAGTAAAAAGTACTTTAATTGGAATTCTAATCATTGCAAATTAAAATTAAATCAAAGGAAGAAACTCATATCCAAATTTAATTATTCAACTGAATTTTATTTTATATTAATTTTGACTTAATTGCATTCTGAAATATGTTTATTATCACTTCATCATATTTTAGAATGGCTCTTGAAAACAGCTATATCTTACATCTATGCACCTAACGTATATTATATGCATTTAATTTTCAAAAAAATAAACCCTACCTGCCCCACATATCCACATACCCCCACATATCCGATTTTTCAGTTTGTTGTCTCCGCTACCAAAGAACCTTACTAAATATCTGGGTATCTGGATAGATACTGAATATCCATCTGAGATCTAGCATAACCTACTATTCATAAATATGAAAAAAATTGACTGGTAGAAATTACTCCTTGATAACTTTATTTGAAATGTCACTTTATGTAAAACATATCTTAACAATAATCGAAGGGCAGTTTGTTATGTCACGACAGGTGTAGACTGCAATCAAACATGTTAATCAAGTCAATATTATATTATATAGTATACATATAATATAAAACACTATTCAGAGCCAGAATACACTGTAACTTGAACAGATCTATTAAGCATTGCATTGACCATTAACCTGGTTTGTT